CTGGCACATTCATCCCCTGCAATGAGGCAGCCTCGCGGTGATTCCATTCCTCAGTCAAATTCTTATGATTCGGGTTATTTCAAGCCATCCTCAAGCCATGCCCAGGATCAACTATATGATACAGAAAGTGCAACCTTTGAAAATAAACCTCGAAATATTAGGCGATCTGGACCGTTGGAATACAGTGCAACTCGCAAATTAAAACATGTGGACAGCTCAACCTCGGCAAGCACAGGTCCCAGTCCATTGCCAAGGTTTGCAATGTCTAGGTCGGGTCCTATATCTTATAAGTGAAAAAATACAGAACTTTTGAAATATGTAAATTTCCGTCTTCCTGCCAACTATTAGTCAGTAGTGGACTGCCTTCGATGTTCATACAAAATTTTGGTGTATTTATACATAAAATCCCTCTATTTATTCCTCGACGGTTAGCAGTAGAAGCTGTAGGAAACGAATAATCAGGCTGTGAAAGCTAAGTATGAAATATCTCAATTTGCATTTGTTGTGTAATGAATTCGGACATCGCTACATAATGTAATCCCACTTGTCTCATGTAGCATCCTCGAGTTCTAAGTTTCACCATTGCACTAGTGTCTTCGCCTTGGCACAATTACCTTCCTTGACTATTCTGCTCTATAAATGGAATTGAAGGGGAGGGGGGAAAAAACCAATACAAGAAGAACAAGAATCATAAATTTCTAATATCCAGCCTCTGCCTCTTCAATGATCGACAACCTCAACCCAACCAAACAAACCAGCATGGTCTGGTGATTTGTCACTGGTTCTTATCCTTTTGAAGAACTGCAATATGTCGCTTGAGCCTTTATTTGAAGTTTTTCTTACCATGAGAGAAACATAAGGGGGCATTTTTACCAAATAGTAGCCCATAGCAAAGGGGAAGAACGAGAAAGATGAGAATCCCTTCCAGGGAAAGTGAAACAACAATTGTGCAATGTTGCTTTGGTTTACTGGTGTAGTTATGGCCTGGGATTTGTATAGCAATGCATAAACTCATTATCTTCTTTTGCATCATCAACCATGTCTAATGTACAAACTCCAACTTTAGGTACTGAATACATCAAACATTGGCAAATTTTGTATGCATATACATTACATATACATCATCAGTGTTGGAAGACAATCTATTATCATGTATCTCCCATTTAGAGTAATTTAGCAGGATCTTATCGAAGATGGTGCCTGCAAAGGTGATATCAAAGATGGTGCAACATCAGCGGAGAGAACTAAAAGCAATGAAAGGTAAAATCAATAGAATGATATTAGATATTAAAATAAAGAAGATGGAGAAAAAAAAGGGGAGGCACCTCAAGGTTTCTTTTGTTCCACGACGAATTTTGCAACGAATAGTTGGAAGGCCAAGCCGCTGATGAGCTTCATAGCGATGACAACCAGAAAACCCTGGAAAAGACAAGAGACATTATTTAATTCTCTTTAGCAATTAAAGATCAAGTAATGGTTGAAAGATCACAATGATAGCTTAATGCTTAGGGAAGAAACTGAAAAGAGGACATACCGTAGTAAACTCCATCCACCTCAAGCACATCAATCTGCATAAGATAAAGAACTGTCTGAGTCCTAATATTCACCCGCAGATGGGTTGACATGAACTAAGGCAAAACTTCTATTGGTAAGTACTTTAACCATGCATATACAAGAAGGAATAGAAGTGTCAAAAGTGACTTTCCCATAATTAGCTGATAAAGGACAATGTTTTCAGATGTCAAGGCTGTGACCCTCTCTGTTAGCAAAGGATTGACGGAAATTTAGTTCAAGCTGGGGCATAAGATCTATGGCTTATGCCCTACAGGAAAGTTTAGGACTCGGTTATTTTCTTGAGGTTATAAGTCATCAGATAGGAAATTAGGAAGTGGGAGTTAACTAAGTCATGAATCTAAGGACAAACAAATTCATTCACGACAATGGGAGTGCATGCGAGTAAATTCTCATCTGCACTTATGTTTGAAGACAAAGTAACATCAAATCATGTGAAAAGTAAATAACAACAAAGGATTTGTAATTACAGGTACTTGAAGCCCGATTTCCTTAATGCTATCCATCAGTTCCATCACTTTTTGCTGGTCATTAGCTCTGGTACGCATGAGTGGCCTTCGGATTTTATCAAGGGGAAGTTCAAGAATCACTGGCCCCGCTGATTGAGGCACACCAGGAGTTGACCCTGAAACCATATTATGAATAGTTTAGAAGCATTAACCTTAAGAAATACGTTAAAAAGCATTAAGAACTCGAAGCTGTTCTTTCACTCACAACAAGTCTACATGACCAACAAAAGCACACACAACTGGTAGGTTTAGGAGTAAAGACTGCATTTCAAAGAAAACATTGAAAAATCTAAATTAGGCTCACTGAATATTTAGTATGAACAGGAGAGAAAACCGGATTCATCAACTAAATGGTTCCTGTAATTATGCTTTCAGTTTCTGTTTCCTGGATTGCAGATGGGGATGGTTGCAATGAGAGAAACTAGGGGTGATCTCCTAATTCTCTGAAGTAGGTTATTTATTTCATTCTTTATGGTATTCGACTTCGGAAACAACAACAACAAACCCACCCACAAGTGGTGTCCGGGGAGGGTAGTGTGTACACATACCTTATCCCTACCTTGAAGGTAAAGTATTCGCCTTCGAAAACATGATGCATTTCCCTCCGTATGTTGTACAATGATATAAAGATTAAAATTCTATACCATTATTCTTCTCTGCTTTTATTTACTTATGCAACGATTAACAATTTTGAGCAAGAACCCAGAAATGCCTATGCTAAGCTCAACTCAAAGAGCACAGCCTTTAACCAATTTGACTATTATGGATACACTAATTGTTTGTATTACGCAGAACCCATAACTGGTTTTGCCAGAATAACCAATATATAGTCTATACCAAGAAAATATTCCCAGCATAAATCTCTAAAACACTATTAAATAATCCAAACAAATACATGAAGCAAGATATGTATCATTAAAATAACTCAATTTTTTAGGCAATTCAATCAGAACAATTTTGGTTGATAGGGGTTCATTCTAAAGAACAACACAAACAAACAAACAAAAGCACACATCTTTGGCAGTTTTAGAAGCAAAGAAATAGCATTTGAATAATATAGAAAAAGAATTTTGATAACCGCCAAAAGTGGTATTATCTAAATTGTGCTCAGACAACAGTTATATATACTACAATCAGTTGATTTGAGCAGAACCCATAATTATCTATTTTTGGCTAAATTCTACTAAGAGAACATATAAATCTTTTCTCTAAGTACACATTTTGAGCAGAAATTCTCAATAACCATAGTAGTATTTTAGGAAGAATGAACATGGATACCGTTAGAGGAGGACGAGACAGTGAAGCTCCGCAAACGCAGGTTATTTGGAAGTTGCACTACAAAATTTGCCATTTTCAGACCTCTTGTGTTTGAAGCTGACACGACTTCTTCATATATATTTGAACACAAAAGAAAAAAAGACGCAAACGTGTTTTTTGTGGATTAGAAATTAGAATCCACATTTTTTATACAAAAAAGAAGAAGAAAAATTTAATCTTTCAAGAATTAACCCAAACCTAATCTCTTAAATTAGAAATAGCCCACGGATATATAATATATATAATACATGTATAATATATGTATAACTATGTATAATCAATATATATAAAAAATAAACATTAAATCTGCCTATTTGTGTAACAAAGTATTACTTAAAATTTAAAAAGGAAATTTTTTAGCAGAGTAAATAGTAAACAAAAATATAAAGAGGTCCCCAATTGTCCCACATTTCTCTTTTCCCCAAAAGGAGAGAAACTTTAATTGTCCAATCTGAGGGGAATTGGTAAAAAAGTTTTAACCTAAGATATAAAATATAAAGTATTAACATTCTCCCAAAACAAGGGGAGAAAAAAAACGCAATACTTAATATATATATA